GGCCCGAGTCACCTGCAGCATTACGGATCAATGAGTGAAATGGTGTGTGTGCTTTAGCTCAACCGCGCCGTTCTGTTGATTTGACAAGGTTAGAATGAAGAGAAAAGCTCTTCAGTAACAAACCATTTAACATGTCGCTCCAGCTGAACCTTTGATCCCGACTCTTAGCAGCAATAATCCGCTTCGCCTTTTTGCCACCATGTTGAAGGAAAAGCTTTTGGCTTCAGGTGAGGCTGCTGGTGCAAAGGCTTCCAGCTCAACAGATGGAAAGAGGTGTGTGTGTGTGTGTGTGTGTGTGTGTGTTTGTGTGTGTGTGTGTGTGTGTGTGTGTGTGTGTGTGTGTGTGTGTGGTGTGTGTGTGTGTGTGTGTGTGTGTGTGTGTAATAAAACAAATGTTAATTTGTTGAATTGTATTTTTCATGGGGTTTATTGGCCCATATTTAAAGACGATATGATTTTACATATCATCTCTTGTCTGTTCGTGTGGCTCGTTCATCTGCCGGTGGAAATTCAACTTGTCATGAGGATCTTTAAACTCCTGCGGTTGGGATTGGGGTTTGGGTTGGGGTTAGGGTCAAGGGTTCAGCTGACCCCGTTTGGATTTTAAGTATATAAAAGTTTCAGGCTCTGCTTGCTTGTTTCTGACGGAGCGGTCGGTGTGCAGGTGGTGCACAGGGACAGGCAGGAGCTCCAGGCGCTCCGTTCCATCTTCCTGCCTCTGGGAGATGTTTAGAGCTGGGATGTTGTTGTAGAACCCAACCCTGCATTAACCGCACACCAGAACCGCCCCCACCTGTTGCTGGGTTCCTCCATGATTCATAGAAACACCAGACTAGTCAGTTAAAGGGTTGATTACTAAAGCTCATCACTTCTTCTTAGGTTTCTATTGGTGAAAAATGGAAAACTCTGAATAATCCTCCTTCCACGTTACAGTGAAGCTCCACTTTGTGCATTTTAAAATAAAACAGGTTTGAGCTTGGAGAACCAGGTTTTGGGTCTTTTTTCGCAAGTCTCTTTTGTCTGCTGCTTTCTTCATCATCCACTAGATGGTGCTCCTCCCTGGAGGGCGTAGCAGCTGTCTGGATTCAGCGCACCTGAGCGGTCTGAACATTTGTCTGTCACGATGTGCCTCTGAGTTTCTATGACTGTCTCTAGGAACATTTACCTGTTTGTCTTCTCTCAGGTGTTTCCTGGTAGTGACGGGCAGACGAAGCCTCATGAAGCTATGAAGCTTTCCAGGGTTAGAGTTCATTGCTCACTACTGACATCTGCTGCTGAAACTGTAACAGGCTTGTTACTCAGTTAGATCATACTTACCCTAATTAAATCATATTTAATTGTGATACGTGTTAGCTATTAACATGATGTGGTTCTGTTGGGTTTTCTTCAGACTCGTGTGACAATAAAGACATTGGATGTTTTAGTAACTTGTTGCAGTGCTTGTTGGGGTATTCGCTTTTCTTGGATTTCTAATTGGCTTAAATCTGTTTCTGTTCTGCAAGACTCATATATATTTTCCAATCAGACTACAAGTAATAGTGGGAGTTTCCAAAAGGTGAGAAATTGGGAGGTGGAGGGTTAATTATTATTGGTTAAGACTTTTATTGTGAGCGATTGTTGGAGAAATTGTGATATTATTAATCAATTATTTGTTATTCTCATTGATCTTTATAATGTATCTTTAATTGATGCTTTCCTTAAAGTTAATCTCATTATAGAATTAAGAATGTTTCTTGTATTGTTGATTTACTCTGATTCCTTTCTCAGAAGGCCTCACTGACAGAGAGCAGAAACAAAATCTTCCTGCAGGTTTACCTCTTGGTGAAGAGCTCTGCTTCGGTTGAGTTGCTGGCCTCCAATAAAACCATCATTGCTAAGATCACTACATATTTTATTAATCTTTGTGCCTGGAAGGACATTATCTAGTACAGAATGATTGTGTGTTAGTTAGTGAATAACATTTGACGCTGTAGCTGTTTGCCCCTCCCTTTAGAGCTACAGCGTCCTTGTGATTAGGGATCCTAGAAACAATAAAATAGAGGAGCAGACAAAATGTGCTTCAGAGCGGTAGGAGATTGTAACTGAAGCACATCTCTGTCCGTTCTCCTCGCGAGTGAAAAAGAATCGAACTCTTTTGTCTTTTCTGTCTTTGTTAATGTATGTTTAACAGGTGTTAACCCTAACAGCGATGTCTCAAACTATTCCCAGATGTCAGAGATTTTCCTCTTGCTGACTCCATTTCAGACAATCAAGTTCGTTTGTGTTACACGTTTCAGCAACAATGCAGATCTTAGACATTTCCATCATAAAACACAAAAAATATAAAGTCATAAAAAAAACACCATTATCAACAATTAGGAAAACTGGTGACAAACATTAGATTTTGATGAGTGCCATCATTTATACACATCAACTATGTTGGTAAATGTTCCTTTTATTTTGGCCACTGAAGACAAATATTCTCATCTGATGCTCCACTAAATGACCTACAACAATCCATGAGGCAGCACAGCTTTTATTTTGAAACCTGACAAGCAAAAGGAAGCAGTCCCGTGTCCCAGGTGATGCCAGGCGTCGTTCATAGTGGTTTTCATCTGACGCCTCCAAGCCTCTTGCTCCACACGTCCATCTCTGTGTCCGTGGATCTCACCCACCCGTCTCCTTCTCAAACGCTCCTCACACACCTGTCCGCCCTCCACTGCAAACCTCATCATCCACCTCCACAACATACCAAACTGTGGCACCTGGATCATCTCCCTGCACAGAGAGCAAAACCCCGGTGACCACAGCACTTCTGCTGCTGACAAACTCAACTTCATTTCCCAGCAGCCAACCTGTCAACTCACCTGTTCTCCAGCTCCCCTCTGTGTTTGATGATCCACACACATCTCAAGTTTTGCTCAAAATAAACTTTTCTTTATCTGATTTCCTCATCTCCTGTTTGTGGGTCAAAAGCCTTGAACCCAACATGACTTTAGCAGAAAAGTGCAGACAAAGTAAAGGGAATCGTTGGCAGAGTCCTCTGGCAGTAGGCGTGTCCCGTATTGGTCATGATGTTCAATAAATGGAGAAATCTCCTCAACATTTTGAAACAGATATTTTCAAAATGTTGCCATGCGTCGCTTCTTGGTTTTGGCTGGTTAAATTTGTGCGTCTGGTGTCTGAGCATCTCTCCTCTGGCTGTGTTGGGTCAGCGCGTCTCTGGAGGTTCATGTTTCTGCACAAAGGTTGTCCAAACCCAGGGAGGAGAATCTCAGAGCTGGACATGCAGCAGCATGTGGGGAATCTGCGTTTTGCTGCCTGAATGGTTCTGCGGCTCGTTGTCACTCCAACAGCTGCAGCGAGCCAACCTCCGCCGCCTGGCTCCCGGTAAGCCTCTCCTCCGTCTCCTCCCTCCATCCTTCTCTCTTCACTTCCTCTCTTTGCCTGTCAGATGAGCAGCAGTCGCCGCCCCCGCGCCGTCGCTTCACATTGCCTCATAAAGCGGAGCTGCAGACTGGGCCTGATTACAGTGAGGAGAGGAAGAGGAGCGTAAATACGGCCAACAGGCCATAATTACAGAGACGCGATTTGACAGCAAACATAAACCACACCGCCGGCCGGATCCACGCTCTCTCCTGGCAACAGATTAGATCATTTTAGCTGCTTTATCTTCACTGATCCTTAGAAAATTGTAGTCCACAGGTCCAGCTTCAACTGTTTCATTTCTTTCTCATCATTTGACTGAATTCCAGTTTGTAGCACATGAATGTGAGGGAGTTTTGTATGAACTAGGACATGTCTTGATCCTCAGCAAGCAGCAGCTCTTTGTTGGGCTGAAGGTGTAAATGACAGTTTGCTGCCGAAGCTTTGAATCGATTGTCTCTGTAGCAAACCAAGAGGGAAGGGAACAGTTCCCTGAGGAGCTCCAGCCTGACCCTGATCTCAGGAGCCAGCAGCTTTACAATCAAGTCAATGTCGTTTCTCTTGCCCTTGTTTTTCCATTTCCTGCTCTCCTGAATCATAAAGCTGTTGTCCTGTTTGTCTTGATTCTTCCAGGTAAATGACCTACAAATGACCTTTCATGTTGTTTTTGCTTCATTTGAACTGCTGCTGTTTCCTTTTGTCAAGTTGTTCAATAAAGACTTTGAGACGAATGTTGAACTTTGCTTTTCTGATGGGAGGGAAAAACAATATTCACCTTCTGTTAGAAATATTAACAATTCTTGTTAGTATTGGAGCCCAAACCAGCTACACTGATCCAAGACCAGAACCAGAACCAGAACCACTGACCCTAAATGTTCTCGATTTACTCCAGCAGGTTGTTCTCCTTCAAGCTGAATTTGTCCAGGCTGGAGCTGAAACAGCTTCCAGTAAGACTCCAGTCAACCTGATGGGAGGAAACTGGGAACTTGGTTGAAGCTCCAGAGTTCATGGAAACTGAAGGAAAAAGCTCTGGCCGAGCCTCCACATGACCTCAGTGTAACCCAGATCATCTGGTTTGTATGAAAGCTGATTAACGGACAGGATGATGTTCTGTCTGCGCTGCTGAAGGCCGGCGGCTGTGAGAGGAACCTGATTATCCTGCAGATTGATTAGAGAAGCAGGTTTTGGTCATTCGGGGACATTCATCCTCTGCTTAATGAATAGTGACAGCATTTATTCAACCAATTACTGTGCTGCTTTTCTCTTTCAAACACTTGCAAATTACTTTGTTTTTTATGGAAAATGCGTTTTGCTTCAACACTATTAACTCTGTCACTTTCAGAGTTTTTTCTCCTTCAGGGCCTCATTTATTATTTTCACAGTTTTGCAGGCCTCTGACCTTCAGATCTCACATTTCCAGCTTCAGCGTCTCGCCTGGTGAGGGCACCCCCTGCTGCTACAGCGCCACTCAGCCCCCAGCTGCATCGCTGCCCTGACTCATGGAAAGTACTCCAGGTTTGATGGGCAAAGTCTCATGACCTTCAGATAAAGACCAGGATCGCTGCGGCTCAGAGCTTTTAGCTTGATTTGAGCTGATGGTACCAGAGTCTTTGGACACGGTCCAGAACCTTCTGTCAAAGATGTGATGTTGCTCCGTTGCATTTCTCTGACCAGAATTAAAATTCTAGCAACTTTAAGATCAACTTTAGCAACTTTTCATCACCAGGCCACCGGACCGCCGGCAACCGAACCACCGGCCACCAGACCACCGGCCACCAGACCACCCACCACCAGACCAACCACCGGCCACCAGACCACCCACCACCAGACCACCGGCCACCAGACCACCCACCACCACCACCCGCCACCAGACCACCCACCACCAGACCACCCACCACCAGACCACCCACCACCAGACCACCGGCCACCAGACCACCGGCCACCAGACCACCGGCCACCAGACCACCCACCACCAGACCACCGGCCACCAGACCACCGGCCACCAGACCACCGGCCACCAGACCACCCACCACCAGACCACCGGCCACCAGACCACCCGCCACCAGACCACCGGCCACCAGACCACCCACCACCAGACCACCCGCCACCAGACCACCGGCCACCAGACCACCGGCCACCAGACCACCCACCACCAGACCACCCACCACCAGACCACCGGCCACCAGACCACCCGCCACCAGACCACCCACCACCAGACCACCGGCCACCAGACCACCCGCCACCAGACCACCCGCCACCAGACCACCGGCCACCAGACCACCGGCCACCAGACCACCCGCCACCAGACCACCCACCACCAGACCACCCGCCACCAGACCACCGGCCACCAGACCACCGGCCACCAGACCACCCACCACCAGACCACCGGCCACCAGACCACCCACCTCCAGACCACCGGCCACCAGACCACCGGCCACCAGACCACCGGCCACCAGACCACCCACCACCAGACCACCCACCACCAGACCACCCACCACCAGACCACCGGCCACCAGACCACCCACCACCAGACCACCGGCCACCAGACCACCCACCACCAGACCACCGGCCACCAGACCACCGGCCACCAGACCACCCACCACCAGACCACCGGCCACCAGACCACCGGCCACCAGACCACCCACCACCAGACCACCCACCACCAGACCACCCACCACCAGACCACCGGCCACCAGACCACCCACCACCAGACCACCGGCCACCAGACCACCCACCACCAGACCACCGGCCACCAGACCACCGGCCACCAGACCACCCACCACCAGACCACCGGCCACCAGACCACCGGCCACCAGACCACCCACCACCAGACCACCGGCCACCAGACCACCCACCACCAGACCACCCACCACCAGACCACCCACCACCAGACCACCGGCCACCAGACCACCCACCACCAGACCACCCACCACCGGCCACCAGACCACCAGACCACCGGCCACCAGACCACCGGCCACCAGACCACCGGCCACCAGACCACCGGCCACCGACCGCCGGCCAGGATGACAGTGACATGAGGGAAATATTCAACTCCATACGAATATGCAGAGGTAGGTAAGTGTTCAGACTTATTCCGTATAATTTTGTCCCTTTAGTTTGTTCTCCAGTTCCATCCTAATTTTTGGCCCATTACAGGTGGAGAGACTTTGGGAATAAATGTTTGTAGTTTGGTCTCCGATCAGGCCGTGACGATGTGTTGAGTTCGGGGTTGTGGAGCTCAACACAGGATGGTGCTGCTCTGTTCCTCACATGCCATGAAGTCAGAAAGTTTCTGCTTTATCTGAACTCAGAACCTCTGCTGGGCTCAAAGTCTCACGGGAGACTTCAGGCAGAGCGCAGACTGACGTCACGCTCCGGCACAGGAGACATGCAGCCTCTTCATGCAGAGCGACTCCCCAGCTCTCTGCAGAAAGCCTGAAAGAGTCTCTGCCTGAGCACCCTGTTCTTCATCAGTGGAGTTGTTAGCATCCAGGTCCTGTTTGCTCTCTGCTCACATAAAGAGCAAAGGAACCTGAACGCTGCAGAGCGTTGATCCACAGCAGCAAGTTGTGACCTTTATTGCCGTCTCTCCTCTCAGAGTTGGGGTCCTGGCTCTTTAAGCCGACTAATGATCCATGGAGGAGCTCTGGGGCTCAGCCTCTGTAATTATGCTCTCTCTGTCTCTGTCTCTGTCTCTGTCTCTCTCTCTCTCTCTCTCTCTCTCTCTCTCTCTCTCTGTCTCTCTCTCTCTCTCTCTCTCTCACTATCGTTCTTCCTCAGCCGTTATTTCTGTCACACACACACCTTCGGTCTCTCCTTGAGCTCCCCCTCTGATCTGCCACTAACCTGAATTCCTCAGTTCTTCAGTTCTTTGTATGTGAGAATCTGAGATTATAACCTGGATTAACGGGGAGCCCATGAAGGGTAGCTAATCTGATCTCTGTCATTTCCACCAGAACTCGGCTGAAGGCCTTTAACTGGATTTTTCCAGATGGTGACGAGTCACAGCAATCCAGAATGGATCAGTTCTCCAGGTTTACTTCTGGACAGGATGTTTCTAATCATGGCAATATTCAGAGTTGACGCTTGAAACTCGTTTAATATGAGATCAACATATCCTTGTCAAAACAATTCCTGAATGTTAACTTTATCACTGAACTATTATTGAATCCCTTCCAGATCAGGTGATGACTCAGCAGGTTTTGGTTTAGTCAGAATTTAAAAGAAGCTTAGAGTCTTCCAGGTTTTAATGTCCTGTAATCTACCTGATGGATTGTAGATAAACTGGACAGCGTCCCAATAATCCCTGAAAGTTGTTCTTGGTTTTATTTGGCTGCCAATAACAATAACTGGCTAAAGATGTAGCTTAGCTTAGGATTTTATAAGCTAAGACATAAAGAAACTTCCATTGTGTAATAATGTATTACACAACGTTGAAACAATAATGAATAAAACACATAGATGAATAATATCCAAGGGACAAATATGGTGAACAGCGCCCTCTAGGTGTCAGTGTGGCTCTATTACACCACTTATCATTTAGTACAAACATCCTGCTGGAGTCAGCTCAGGCCGAGTCTCATCAGCCGATTCTCCCAGTTGGAAACAGAAATATCCTAAAGTCAAGTGGTCCAAACACGGAGCCAGAGGTTTGTTTCTGCTTTCTATTCTTCAGGTTTCCACTTTTATTTCTTACAGTTATTCTTTGTTATGTTTGTGTCAATAAGTTTCTTTAGTCCAGTTATTCTTCAGTTTTTTGGTTCATTTCTGGTTCCTCCGTGTCTCTCGCTCGCCCCCAGTGCCACCTTCTCTCTCTCTCCTCCTCTCACACCTGCAGCCCGTTTTCTGATCAGCCAGATCTGTTCACAGTTCATCCTCCCCCCTGTCTAAGCCTCTCATTTTCAGTCACTCCTTACTGGATCCTTTCATCTACTTCCTGGTTTTCTTTTGGCTCATTTTGTAGTTTTTGTCATATGTTCATTCAAATTCTTCAACCCCTGCAAAACAACGACCTGCGACCTGCGAGCTGCTGGTTGTGCTCATTTTGTGGATGTGAAGCCCTGACCATGTGAACTCATGTGAAGCTCTGAGTCCCAGACGTCAGCAGAGGAAACTGGTCTCTGGTCTGAGATCTGGTTTTCCAGCCGGTGAATGGTCTGATCGGCTGCAGAGCTTCGTCTCTCTCCTCACAGCCTCTCAGGTTATCAATAAGCAGCTGCCACTTATTCATAGGCATTCATAGCCAAAGCAAAGCTATTAATGCACAGTGTGAAATAAATAGAGATTTTGTATCAAAAACATTATTGTAAGGGATTGAAGCAGATTTAAAATGTGGCTCATTAGAGATGATAAAAATGACATTTTCTGTTTCAGTCAAATATCCAGTGATGCTGTCAGACGATGGGCTGACTCTTTATTAGGACACGTTAATGTCTCCGCTTGTTACCCACTTATAAAACCCAAACATGAAACAATAGAAAGATCAAACCAGATGCCACAACCTACCAGAAATCGAATTCATAGTTGAGAGCTTCCCACTTCGAGGACACGACTTCCAGAAGCATCAGAGTAATGAGATTTTTTTCAAACTGAAGTTTTATGAATGATTCGGGGATCATTTGGATCCAAAGACAAACTGGAGGAGACAGAAGAGTTAAGCTGAAGGTTAATGTGAAGATGATTTATCAAAACGCCTGATTGGTTTCTGATCCAGTCTAAACCACGATGGATCCGTCCTGACTGTGTCTCTGGTTACTGTGTGTCCATGAACATGTGCAGTCCAGAGCAGATGGCTGCTGACCTCCCTCATTCTCCTCTTGTCTTCATGTTTCTTGTCTTCATGTCTTCATGTCTTCTTGTCTTCATGTCCTCCTGTCTTCATGTCTTCATCTCCTCCTGTCTTCATCTCCTCCTGTCTTCTTGTCTTCATCTCCTCCTGTCTTCTTGTCTTCATCTCCTCCTGTCTTCATGTCTTCCTGTCTTCATCTCCTCCTGTCTTCTTGTCTTCATCTCCTCCTGTCTTCATGTCTTCCTGTCTTCATCTCCTCCTGTCTTCATCTCTTCCTGTCTTCTTCTCTTCCTGTCTTCCTGTCTTCATCTCTTCCTGTCTTCTTCTCTTCCTGTCTTCATGTCTTCCTGTCTTCATGTCTTCCTGTCTTCATCTCCTCCTCCCTGCTGTCTCCTTCTGTCCCTCCTCTCTCCGTCCACTCAGTCTGTTTTCCACTCAGGGATGAGATCTATTTTTGACCATTTCTGTTCTTGTTGACATCTGAATCTTTTCTCTCCGTCTTCTCGGTCTTGTCCTCAGCAATGCGTTGCAGCTTCCTGCTCTCTGCAGCTGAACTCGTCGACACATTGAAATGTTTTGGCTTCCATCATTTAATCTGTGTTCAGCTCGCTAACGGCCCTGTTAAAGCCCGACCTTTCAGCAGCCCCCCACCTTCAGCTGCTGCTGTTCGCTCTCATCAGCAGCCAAACCCAAAGGGGGGGTCGGGGGGGGGGGGGGTCTGTGCTGCGTTCACTTGCACTCGGTCATCCTCATGTTGACTCGTTTAAACTCTAGTTAGATAACGAGTATTCAGACTAAAGATGTTTTTGCTTCGAGAAACTAAATGATGATTTGTGAGGGTCATAATGAATGAGAAGCTGCTTCAGGTCTGCAGACGGTTGGTGGGTCGAGGCTTTAAGTCGGTTCTGCTGCTTCTGTTTGGGGCCATTTAGTGAAAAAGCAGATAAGAAAGAAAATTTATTTCTTCTATTGATTTATTCTGCAGAACCCGAGGCCAGAGATGAATCCTGATGATATGTTGATCTAACTCATTAGCATCTTTATTAGCCAGCCTGCAGCGGCTCCTCGTCTCTCCTCCACCTTTGTTTCCTCCATCTTTCTTCCTGCCACCGTCTCTCTGGACGCTCGGCGGCGCCGTCCGCCCCAACATCCAGCCGCTTCCTGGCTCGTGTCTTTGCTTCTGGGTTGGTGCTGGTTGGCTGGATGAGAGAGATATCGAGGGATGAAGGGAGCAGAAACATAGCAGATGTCTCTGCTCCATTAAGAGGTTAATGAGCAAAGCTGGATGCAGCCTCACTGCGCACAGCAGGGAACCGCTGCAGGTCCAGTTCTACCGACCCAGCAGACAAACACCTGGCTACGGTTCTGTCCTACATCACCAGCGCTGCTTCCTCATGCGTCTCCTGCTCATCTTGGTATTCTTCCTTCTATCCTTCTCCTCTCCTGGAGAGGAAATCTGCTGGTCCAGTTAAACCAGTGGATCGGCTGGTCTTGGCTCAGGATTCGGCCCTGATGTGTTTCCACCACTGGCTGGGAACCAATGATGATCTGTTTCCTGTTGCATCATCAGGATGAGGATGATGGACAGTGACTCATCGTTACTGTGCTGCAAAGTGAATGAAATCACTGAGATTCATGTTTCTGATATGAAGATACTAACTCAATGCACCTGGACCGGACTGGACCAGACTGGACCGGACCGCTCCTGATCTGACCCGACCGGACTGGACTGGACTGGACTGGACTGGACTGGACTGGACCGGACCTGACCTGACCGGACTGGACCGGACCTGACCTGACCCGACTGGACCGGACTGGACTGGACCGGACTGGACTGGACCAGACTGGACCGGACCGGACCTGACCCGACTGGACTGGACCGGACCGGACTGGACCGGACTGGACCGGACCGGACTGGACTGGACTGGACTGGACCGGACCGGACTGGACTGGACCGGACTGGACTGGACCGGACCGGACTGGACCTGACCTGACCCGACTGGACCGGACCGGACCTGACCCGACTGGACCGGACTGGACCTGACCTGACCTGACCCGACCGGACTGGACCGGACCGGACCTGACCTGACCTGACCCGACTGGACCGGACCGGACCTGACCCGACTGGACCGGACTGGACCTGACCTGACCTGACCCGACCGGACTGGACCGGACCTGACCTGACCTGACCGGACTGGACCGGACCGGACCTGACCTGACCCGACTGGACCGGACTGGACCTGACCTGAC